GCGAGATATCCGTTTGTTAACCAAAGAACAAGTCTACTGCACAGCAGTTCGCTTCGTCCTACTATATGGATACGAAACATGGCCAGTAAGAGTTGAAGATATTCATAGGTTACTAGTAATCGATCATAGGCATCTTCGAAGCATTGCTCGTATATCTTGGGACGAATCAAGTAGGCAATGCTGTTATTAGGAATCGGGTGCTAGGTAAGAATGGCAGATCAATAGATGAAATATTGAAACTTCATCAGTTGAGGTGGTTGGGACATGTGTTACTTATACCCACCCACCGACTGCCTCGACGAGTTATGTTCTGTCGTATAGAGGAGTATGTTGGAAGAAATCTAGACGGGGCAGCCAAATCAAAACATGGCAGAAATTACATAAACTTTTTTGTTCAGAAGACAATTTCTATTTGTAACCATGAATCGATCAATATTAGACTACCATTAGAAACGTGGAAGCACTGGACGGCCGTTGCGTCTTGATATGGGACTCCTCAGCTGTGCGCATCCACGACTCCTGCGCCTCGCGCAGGACTCGAACCCAGGACCTTCGGTATTGTGCGCGAACGCCCTAACCGTTAGACTACTGAGCCTGTACCTAACGGTGTTAATGTCTAACTTCAATCAATTCACGGAGTTGCGCAACCTCATACACTGTATACATCCGAACAGGTTTGAACTTCACTGGTCATGGACTTCCCACCACTAGAACTCGAAGAAGATTCCTCACCAAGCTAGTCACTAGTGAACACATGTAATTGCATTGCGGGGTTGTTGTGAAGGTTGTTAAGTTTTATTTGTGTAACCATGAGTGGATGCGCACTGCCACTGACGAGTAGTCCCATACACTAGGACGAAATGGCCGTCCAGTGCTTCCAGGTTTCTAATGGTGTAGGTCTAACATTGATCGATTCATGGTTACAAATAAAATTTAACAATCTTCGCAACAACCCTGCAATGCAAAAGATAATTTTATCAAATTTCATTAAATTTAAGCAGCTTTAATCTAACAAAGATTTAAGTGTAGTTAGTTAGTTGATTGAATCAAAAAGTTGTTAAATAAGAAAGATTATCAATTCTATGATTGTATTGTTGTTTTGATTATTATTATTCTGTCATCTTCATCATTTTCAATGTGTTATCTTCTCATGTTTCTGTGTGTGTATGTGTGTGTGTGTGTACACATCTCTGCATACATACTTACATTCATACACACACACATACGCCAATTGATCACTTGTACAGTTAGTTGTAAATGTTCTTTTCACACTTGACCATATTCTAAGTCACTATGCCTCCTATCGATATGAATGACCTAGATTCTGTATATATATATATATATATATATATATATATATATATATATATATATATATTGAACGTCACTTTGAAAGACCTAACAAAATCTTGCTCAGAAAAAAAAACAGAATTTTTCAACTAAGCGTTTTGTTTTTCAATGTTACGGACTGTGAACATTGATAAGAATTAGTTATTGTGTGATGCGAGCTACTTATAAGTAGTATATGACGTGAGTGTCAACGTAATGTCTGGCAGCAGAAGATGGGGGAAGATCAAGAGAAAGGAAGAAGAGTGGGAACACAATGGAATTTGTGTATGAAGCGCATGAATAGTGAAATGTCAGACAATGTGTAGTGAAGCAGAACACAGGTGAGGGCAACCGAATTGTATTTAACGAAAATTACAGAGTTAATTGGTAAAATAGGAAAACCATATCGTAAACGGTTAATTTGCAAAACATCAATCCGTTTTCTGACATTCCACTTATTCATGCATTTCATACAAATTCCAGTGTGTTCCCACTCTTCCTTTGTTGATCTTCCCCCATCTTCTGCTGCCATCAGACATTACGTTTATACTACTACTTATACTACTTATAAGTAGCGCGCACCACAAATGGATTGATGTTTGCAACAAGAACAGTCCAGTTCGATATGATGGATTGATATTTTGCAAAACAACGATTTACAATAAGGTTTTTCTATTTTACCAATTAACTCTGTAATTTGAGATAAATACAATTTGGTTGTCCTCACCTGTGTTCTCCTTCACTACAATGGCACTCAAATTCTATGACTACCGGTTACAATTGTCTCACCGACTTCAACCAGGTGGTGGTAGTCTACGCCTACCGAAATGATTTATGCCACTTGTTAGTAGTGACTTCATGGATTTGTGCCATGTTTTGTTTGATGTGGCCGCCCCCTCTAGATTTCTTCCAACCTACTCACCTACACCACAAAATATCGATCGTCTAGGCAGTTGGTGTTTGGATATTTGTAATACATGTCCCAATCAACTCAACTGATAAAATTTCAATACTTCATCTATTGATCTGGCATCCTTACCTAGAACCAGTTTCGTAACACTGGCATATATATGTATATATATACTCGTATTTATTCAGTAGTCTATTTAAAGTCAATAAGATTAATATAA